AAAAAACAGGACAGTTTCACTTTATTGTTTCTTTAGAGTTTGGGGTCCATTTAAAAACACTTTAACCACTTCTTTCCTGTCCCATTCGGTTCCTTTATGTTGAGGGGGCTGACGGACGAAACCATTACGCCTGCTGGGAAAATAACAAATTAAGACCATTCATAAAGCTTCTGGAATGCAATTATTTTGGTTCACTGGGGATTAATTTCTGTTTAAATGTGTAATTAATAAGCCAAAACTACACTGTACGCAGTTGATATTCGATAAGAAATTAGATTAGTTGGACGCTTTACCAACGCGCACCCCTCGGCGTAGGCTGTTGCCATGTTCCCACTTTCATGGGTGTGGTGATCAGCCTGGTTGGTGAAAATTTTAGTCAAATCTTACCGTAGTTTGTGCTTGTTTCTGATCCGTGAAACCGAAATAAATAATCTTAAAATTACCACGACTAACTCTGGGATTTGTTACACCGCCAGGATCATGGTTGTCGTGTGAAAGCCGATCGCTGGGATTCTGATTTTGTGCCACGGACAGAGTGAAAACGTCTGTTTTTTGGTAAGGACGTGAATCTTGCCTTGATTTATTTGACACTACAACACAGTTTCTAATGTGTGAAACTGGTGGTTTTAATTTTGGGTCGTGGTTTCTTAGATTAGGATTTATTTCTGCCTGGTGTCTTGTTTTTTCATCTGCTGTTAGCAGCTATTGACATAACTGTTCACAGCCTACTGTTGCCTCAGCGCTGCCTTTTCCTACTCAGCGTAGCTGCTAAAAATGAATCGCTGTATTCCAAACTCGTGGCCTTTCCCAGGTTGTTAAATGACACACGAGATCAACCAGCCGCCGACTTATAGTTATTCATCTCTCAACCTTTCATAATGTAGATTTCTCTTTTCCTAACCTGGTGTTGCCCTCCTCCTCCTCCTCCTTTTCCATAAAATATACATTAACAGTCCGCACGCCGCCGAGCGGCAACTGGTTGCGTGACAGCTCATGCAATAAGTTGCATATAAAACACCGACGGCAATCGAAAAGAAAAAAATAAGAAAATAAAATCCAACTCCAAAAAGTGACCTAAATAGTTATCAAAATCACCAACGCCGTTATTAATAGTGAGTTTTCTAATCAGGTCAATATACAAGAAATGGACTTAGTTGTTGCAAAAGTGAATTTCCGGAACTTAAAAATAAAAAATAAATGACAAAATAATCACTTTTCATTAGCAGAGTATATTTTTAAATCCACTAGTTTCACTTCATCACTGTAATGTAGCTGATATTTATTATAGTATATTTATTATAACTGCTGGGTCAGGGTTACTACAGGACAGGACAGCTGTCAATCATGCACACCTGATCTGCACTTTCCTCCAAATTGGATTGAAATGTTTTATTTTATTTTAAAACAATAGAAAGAAAAAAAACCCCATTGGAAACGTGATGGATCTTGGGTTGTTTACAATTTTCGCTTTCAGTTTCAGAATTAACAGTCAGGTTATTTATTTTTGTAATTTTCACTACAGTTCTTGGTTATGTGTTTTTCAATTTATATTTGCACAAATTTATTTATGTGTCAGATGGAAGACATGCAGCTGTGACTGGAACAGCGTGCACCTGAGTGGAGTCTCGTAGGTGTTTCCTCCATTCTCTGGATGATTAACATAGTCAGCCTCGGTACCTGAACAAGTTTACACCTGGGGCAAATGCTCTACGTGATTGGCTGAGAAAATATTGCATTGCATTGTTTCCCATAGAACATTCTTCCCTGAAATACTGGGTCTGACAACAGGACTATATTAACAAATATTAAAATGTAAACTGCCGACTACATTTGGTTTCACCGCATCAACCGTGGGTCGTGTTGCACAAAAATGTGAAGTCCCAGCGTGTCCTCATGTTAATGTGTTAACTTCCGGTCCATTTCATGTAGTTCAGCCCCTGTGGCTGTGGGTGCAGCTGCTCCCTGCCTCCCTGACCTCCTGCTGCTCACTTCACTGACGTGACTGACCCACCCATGTGACCCAGAAGACGCGGTCGTCACTGATCTAGTGCCAGAAACTGAACACAACAGAACAGAGTTTTTATATTTAGTGATGAAATAAACCGGTCCAAACCACCGTACATCAAACACAGCCTGCAGTTTTAGAATGACTCGGGTTTGACCGTACATCAAACACAACCTGCAGTTTTAGAATGACTCGGGTTTGTGAAACGTTAATGCAACATTTCACAGAAATGCAACATTTCACAGAAACTTTTTGACCAAATCAGGATTCCCTCCGTGTCACGCTCTACTCTCGTTCACTCTTGTCATTGTTTGGAAATTGTGGATTTTCATTGTTGCGTTTCAGCGAATAGAGCTTTTGTGCATTGTTGCTGTAGAAAAGGCTTGACCTGATCGACCGTTTGCTTGTCTGGTTTTTGGAGGGGTTTCAAAGTCGTGCCTTTTAAGTAAAGAACAGCTGATTGATTTCTGCTAACTTTTACAATTTTTTTTTTCTCTGTTTATCTTAAACGTGTTGTTTTAGACACGTGTGGTCTGAGAGCAGCAGGCTGGACAGGTTCCACGGTTGGTTTGACTGAGTGACACGGAGCGGCAGAAACCGCAGTTTCTCCGGGTGAGTCTCAGAGAGCCAGCTGTGGCCGTGCCAAGCAGCTCCGTCTGCTGGAGCTGGCAGCCTGACACCAAACAATGGCAGCTCCAGCACACAGCGCCACCTTTGTCACGGCTCAGTCTCTGCCGTTCCTCTGCTCCTGCGTTGCTCTAAGAAATACTAGCACCGTAAGAAACATTTGCTTAAACGTAAACTTGACTGTTTTTTTCTTGAGGTCGTGAAAATGATGACAATTTCCTGTGGAGATACAGGACTCTGAAGGACTTGGTCTCCTGACGGTGGAAATTAAATGTTAATCCTGTAGGTTTAGACTTTTGGACAGCAGAGGTTATTAAAGTGCGTAGGACGCATTAATGTCCACAGACGTTCATAAACCAACGTCCAAATACCCAGCGTCTCCCCCTCCAGTCCCGGAGCTTCTGGGCTGAACAGCACGATACGACGACACAAAGGACTGTTTGCGTTGAGAAAAGGTCAGAGTCTGGCTCAGCTGGCCTTTTGAACCAGACTGGGGGTGTTTGAAGAGCCGGGCCACCCTCCGTGCCCCACCAATGCCCACCCTC